TTCAAACCTACCAGCCACTCCTTGGAAGGAAGGTTGGGCAATCTACTTCTGTAGCGATACTGCCTTGGAAACCCAAGGAGGGGTCACTATGAGTCAGGTTCAACTCAATGGCAGTGAGTTTGGTTTTTGGTTTGAGTGCCATTTCGGGGTTGGATTCCTACTGGAGCAGTTGTGCCTTTGACCACTCGTGTGCCCTCTTGGATGCCCCCTCTCGGAGGACCAGCATCTAAGTGGTTAGAGCAACAAGTAATAGAAGCGAAGCCATCAACATCCATCTGCCTGCAAACACCTTGCCCCCACAATGTTCTTTCCAGTCTCCCATCTGTCCATTGGCAGGAAGCCACAGGGCCTGGAGGAGACTGAGGAGGGGAGACACATAGACATGCACTCCTATCTCTTCTCCCTTTTCTGCATCTTCACTCCGGGCCCTCAGGGCACAGGGGACAGGGTAACACCACAGCTAAGTGGCATGTCAGGATACCATCTATTCCAGCGTAGGGAGAGTTGGGCACTTGGAGGGCTCAGGTGTGAGACTGAGGGGAGCCAGGGTGGGGGGAGTACCACACACTGCTCCACCTCATCTTGAGCTCCAGCACCACCCCACCACCCCTCCTGCCATCGCACCCCCACGTGCGAGCAGCTACTGCTGCACACAGTCCACCCCCTCAGCCTGCCTCTCCTCTGTGAGGCCACAGTGACCAAGCCTCCCAGGGCATTTCAGGACCTCTGCTCTGCAGCTCTGGTGGTGCAGTGGTTAAGCATTTGGCTGCCAACCAAAAGGTCAATGGTTTGAACCCACTAGCCACTCCACAGGACAAAGATGACGCAATCTGCTTCTGTAAAGCCTTGGAAACACTATGGGCAGTTCTGCTCTGTCCTATAGGGCCGTTGAGCTGTAATAGACTCAATGGCAGTGGGTTGTATTTTTTTCCCCTCTACTCTGCTCTGCTCCACTCCTGCTCAGGGGGGGTCAGCCAGTCCCTTCTCCCAGCCTTCATCTTCCCATCTGTACAATGAAGGCAGGGTGGACCAGATCCTAAAATTCTAGAAAGCTAAGTCTCCCCTGTTTCTTCTTATACCCATATAACCATGACTGTCATGTTGATTCTGACCCACAGCAATCCTAGGAGTGTACTTGCCCCACAGGGTTTCTAAGACTAAAATCTTTATGGAAAACAAATTGCCACACCTCTCTCCTGCAGAGTTGGTGGTAAGGTCAAACCACTGACCTTTTGGTTAGCAGCCGAGTGCTTACCCACTGTGCCATCAGAGCGCCTTTTCCTCTCCTCTTAGGATCCTGTAATTTTAGGGTCTGGAGCTCCCCAGCCCCACCAGATCATTAGCTCCTGGAAGGTGCACATCAGGCCAGCTCTCCCATAGCCCTGGGGGTTTCCTGACTGGTTGGAATTTTCTCCACCAATGGTCAAAAACATTCTCCTGGCTCCCAGAGGACCTTTGGTAGGTAAGGAAAGTGTTTCTCCTTGGGACAGTTATACCTGTCTGGGAGGGGCAGCCCTTGCGCAGGTCCCTCTGGCTCACATCTGCTTGGGCCTCACCGAACAGCACTTCCCTCTCCCCGGTGGTATCTGAGCTAGATTTGCAGCTCCCAGGATCCCATCTCCCCATTGGACAACCACTGTGTCCCAGCCTCACCCTCCCTTGGGGCCAATACCGGCTTAGAGTTAACTCCCATCCTAGCCACCTCCCTCATTAGCTCTAGTGAACCTGTCTGGGGCAGAGCAAATGGAGTGATTATTAATTATACTTCTCATTGCTTCCTGGGCAAGAGGCTGAGCCGGCAACAGGAGCCCAGTTTTCTCTGTAGATGCCTGGGGGAAAGGAGGAGTATTCCCACAGGGAATCCAGCCGCACTGGGACCCCCAGCTACAGAGAGGCAGCGCTGTCCCAGCAACAGATGACAGGAATGTGAGGAAGGAAGGTGACAAGGCCAGAGCTGGGCCAGCAGGGTGGAGGGTCCCCAGGTATCCGCCCAGGTCAGACACACCCTGTGATGGTTATGTTTGTATGTCAACTTGGCTGGGCCTGGCTGAGTGGCTGGGCAGCTGGATGTAGTATTCCCCATGATGAGACTGGTAATCAACTCCATGGTGGAATCTACTGGGAGCAGCTGAGTAGCTGCCTTTGGGTATGTGGTCCACTTTCTATATATAAGACTTTGGGAATGGTCTCTAGCATATGGCACGCTTGGACCCTGCATGTAGCCGTGTTGTTACTCAGCAGCCTGCCATGCTCTGCTGACCTTGGGACTTACAATGGACTTAAGTTAATGGCCTGCCGAGTGGTTTGGTAACATTGGGACTGTGCATTTTCACCTGTCAACCTTGGGGCTTCTCAGCCTCAGCAGCCAGCAGCTGTCTGAGTGAAGAAACACCTCTAGCTCCAGTGGGCCAGGAGCAAGAGGCAGAGCTGGACCCCAAGGTTGAGGGGCTTTCACCCAGCCCCTAGAGCCCGGCACTTTGAACTGGGACTTAAAGCCTCCAAATTGTTAAGAATAAACTCCTGTTTGGTAAGGTCATTCCACTTGTGGTATATTCTTATCAGAGTGCTGAATGTGAGGGGAAAAGGACAGGGGTTTTGAAACCATTGATATCTGACTTTACATTGACTAATGCTGTGACTTCATAGAAAGTGGCCATGTGGCCTCACCAGCACAATTTTTCATCTATAAAATGGGGACAGTGAGGGTGTCTCTCCCTGAGCTCATGCTCCAGGGTCACTGGGTAAAATGGAGGAAGGGGAAAAGTCGGCCCCTTTTTGCAGATTCTAAAGAAAGCCAAGGGCAGAGGCTGCACCAGTCAATGCCCTGGTGGGGACAGTGTCACAAGGTCAGCATCAGAGAGGCTTGAGAGAACACTGCCCCTACCACTCCCTAACAGGACAGCATGCACATGTCACCTCACCACACCGGTCCCACTGCACAGATGAGAAGAATGAGGTAGAATGGTTAACTGGCTTGCCAAGGGCACCCAAGTGACAAAGAGCACAGCAACCTGAGTCTCAGGGCAGATGGACACCTGAGGCCCTGTCCTTCCAGAAGGGTGGTAGATGGGAGGGGACCAAGAGAGAAGCTGCCTCAGGCCCTCACAGTGCCACAGGGGCAGAGGCCCCCAGGAAGCCCATTCAGGACCCTCACCTCCCACCTCTATCTTGAAACAACCCTCCCAAGAAACAGACACACACCAGAGGTGCTATAGGGCTTTTTAATGTTACCGCATCATTTAACAATATTGTGGAGAAAAAAAAATATACAGTTGAGAATCTGGAACTGACCATTGTCAGGATGGGTTTTAAGGGCAGCTGATGGGGGCTGCAAAACCCCTTCCAATTCCTCCCCCACCTGGGGGGCTAAGCTACTGCTAACAGGAGCACCAAGAGGGGACGTGAGTCAGAAACTAAGTTAGTGGCTCTTAGAGTCAGGACCGGGCAGAAAATGGGAAACTAGAGCAGGCGGACCCAGCAGCCCCTGGCCAGAACCCTCGTTTGAATCAGTTCTGTCTGCACCATCCCCAGCTGCCCACTCAGCTACATGGAGACAGGAGGAGGTGGCTCGGCCTGTTCCCAGGTAAGAAACATCCTCCTCAGCCCCCTCGCATAGTGTGGAGGGTCGCTTGGTGAAACAGAGGACTCCAAGTGAAATCTGAATTTCAGATAAACAATGCAGCATTTTTTAGTATGTTCCGTGCACCACCTGGAACATACCTGTGCTAAACAAGTGTCAGTCTGTCGCTTAGCTGAAACTCAAACTTAACTCAGCATCCTGTTTGTTTTTTGCGAAATCTGGTGATCGTATTCTCGGGGACCCTTTGTCTCAAACTAGGGAAGGGGTTCAGTCAGCAAAGGCCTAGGAAAGGAAGTAGTTGGTATGGGGAGGCGAAGGGGTGGGAGGAGGGGAGGAGAGGGAACAACCCAGTCAAAAAAAGAGCTTATTTCCCACATGGGAATGATATTTAAAAAAAAAAAAAAAACATTTCCCAGACCATTTTCTACACTGGCCTTCCTCAGGTGTACCGGGGAAGGGGACAGGAGGGGGCAAACACACAGACCCAGACCACACAGTTCTAAGGAAAGTTTGGAAGCGTTAGTTAAATGTCAAGCTGCCGGGGAAGGGGACAGGAGGGGGCAAACACACAGACCCAGACCACACAGTTCTAAGGAAAGTTTGGAAGCGTTAGTTAAATGTCAAGCTGCCTTCTCTGCCCAGCACTTCAGTATGCTAACATCCACTGTGCATTCTAAAGAGGAGGAACTTAGTAGTATAAAGTGTTTCTGAAAGGCTGTGATCTTCCTTCTGGAGGCAGACCTGTGTACACCATTCCTGATACTGCTCTGTAAAGATCTGAAAATAACAAGAACAAGCGAACCCACAGACACTGACCCAGAGCCCCAGGCCCGGTCCTACTGTTAGCCCCGGAAGGCTGCTTCTGGAACATGCAGGAAGCCCATTCTGTTCTCATGCCCTGGAAAGGACCACGTTCAGGGGCAGTCTGCCTGCTGCCCCTAACTCCAGCATGCTACAGGAACCAGGGATGACGAGTAGGGGACCACCCCTTCCTCCAGCTGCACACACTTGGACCAGGCAGCCACCACCAGTCATAGCAGAAAGGCCAGGAGAGGAAAGAGAACTGTGTGTCCTTAGGCCTGGCACTGACACCACCTCTGGGCTCACCTGTCGTTGCAGGTGGCAGGAACTCAGGTAGACATCTGGCACCCAGGTGAGGGCAGGGGGGAGGAGAGGCGGGCCCAGAGAAGAAAGCTGATTCTGCCATAGGCTGGTGGGGGGACATGGAGGTTAACAGTCAGGCGGCCAGTCGACCCCCATGCTGGCTCCCCAGGCTTCTCTGTAGATCCTCAGGTCTAGCCAGGGCCCCTCACCCATGAGGTCCAAGTCTCTTGGTGGCGGCTGCTTGGAAGGGTGGAAAGTTGTGGTGGGTGGGCACAAAAGAGAGGAAGCCAGGAGCTTAGAGCACTGTTTCCTGCCCTCACACATGGATTTCATCCTCCTCCTCGTCCATGAAGGAGAACTCCTTGTCCGGCTGCCTCGGGAGGGTGGCCCGGGCTCTGTCCGGCCCCCGGAAGGCGGGGCTGCGCTCCTCCAGGACCCCCGAGGCGCAGCTGGACAGGGAGCTGGTGTCCCGCGTGGTGTGGCTGCCCACACTGCGAGCCGAGCCGGGGCTGGGGGCGGCCGCTGCCCATCCCTCATCCTCCAGCGCGTGGGGGGGCAGCGAGGAAGAGTCCAGCCCGGCCTTGGCTTCCTGCCGGGCCAGCGGAAGGGCTGCAGAGGTGGGAAGAGGAGCTGGGGCAGCAAGACTGCTGGGGCCCTCATTGCCATGATAACCTCCATCTTCCTCCTCTTCAGGCTCCCACTCGTCCTTGTCCATGATGCTGAGCACATCACCCAGCATAGAGGGCCCCAGGTCGATGTGGAAGGACATGATGGATTCGGCGTGCTTCAGCCCGTAGCTGGCCTTCGGCACCACAGGCAGGTCGGTGAGGTCCCCGAAGGCCTGCTCATCCAGGATGGGGTCAGGCGAGTGGGGGCCCCCGGCCCCGTTGCGGTGGGGCAGCCCCTCTCTGGCACCCCGCTCCTGCACGTCACTCTCCCCGGCACTCCCCTTCTTCACAGGGCTGGATGACAGGCTCTTAGGCAGCTTGCTGGAGCCCCTCTCCGCAGCCTCCTTCTCATTCAGCTGAGGCAAGGACATGGCGTTCTTGACAAAGAGGGCCGAGTCCCGCAGAGAGCCCAGCATGTCCCTCTGCTCCCGGTCGCCCCTTGTCACTGACTGTGACCGCTTGCTGCCCCGGAACTTCCGGGACAGGAGGCTGCGTTTGGAAGATGAGGCAGAGGCCTGCTCGTCCAGGGACTCGCCGTCCGGCTCACCAGCCTTGCTGTTGAGGAAGGAGGTGTCCCCGAAGGCGTCTCCAGCCCGGCCCACATGCATGGTGTGGCGGAAGTCGCCCAGGGGGGCGCTGATCATCTCGGCCGTGAGGTCCATGCGGGAGCGGCGCTTGGAGTGCACTGAGCTGGACACCAGCTGCTTGAGGATGGGCATCGTGCTGGCGGGATGGGGGAAGGTGGGCCTCCCAAGGTCCTACACAGGTCTGGGGTCAGATCTCAAGTCCAGCGGGGGCGGGTGTGATAACGAGGAGATCATAAGGCTGCAAGCAGAGAACAGGAGGCAAAGGATTAGCCTGGGCAGAGCACCCAGCACAAAAGCCCGCCTGCCCAAACGAGCTGTCTTTAAGACAACTCCGACTCACGGTGCCCCCACGTGCATCAGAGAACACTGCTCCATGGGTCCTCGAGGGCTGAGAGTTTGGAAGGGGATCACCAGGCCTTTCTTCCAAGGCACCTCTGGGTGGACTGAATGCCCAACCTTTGGGTTAGCAACCAAGCACATTCACTGAGTACAGTGTACCAACCAGGGAACGCTATCTACTGAGGGGCTGTTACTTAAAGCCCAGCTCCCCAACCCAAACGAAATCAAGTGAAAGAAGCCAGCAACCAATTTTGTAAGCCCGCCTACTTCTTCACCCACACCCATATGCTCTCACATTAGGGGACGGGGTCTGTGAACCTGGTTAGAGTCCAAGTAACCATGAACACACTCTCCCTGAAACCTGAGATGGTACGGTCTCTCCAACTCAGCCACTCAGGGGCGTGAAAGTGTACGAGCAACTCTACTAGGAAAGAGACTAAGTCTGGGACTCAGCCTGGAGACACGTTGAAAAGCTCTTCCTGCCATCTAACCTAAATCCCTGTGAGGTTAGTGGACAACTCACCCTGACTCATAGTTCTCAGAGGAGGGAGAAGGCAGGACAGGCAGTGGCCCCAGGGTGACTCTGCCTGGCACTTCCACGTGCCTGGCGAGGCCAGCTTTCTTTCTGAATCACCGCTGGGGTGGGGCTGCTGGGACCCACAGAACCAGCTCCCCGGCCTTGCAGCTTTTGCTGGGTGTTCCATGCAGGAGGAACTCGCCTGTAACATCTTCACCATGGGGCTCCAAGCTCTCTGCTGGGGACTCACCCTCCACCTTTCAGGAGATCAAGGCTGGGAAACGCCCTCTGTTTTTTTCAATCATTCAGGGTGGACGGAGGCAGCAAAGACACCCTTGGTGACGAGGCCCCTGGGATTTACAGACCCCTGGTAAGGAAGTCGAAAGAACAGCAGAGAAGAACCAAGGACAGAAGCAGCCTGGGCGGGCTAAAGGTTTGCAGTACCACCCACGCAAGGGCCAAGTTTAAGTTCAGTGTTGGGGCCAAGCCTGGCCCTTCTCCCCTAGAGGGACTGGCTCCAAATGCTGAGCTCAGCAGTGCAAGGCTGTCCACAGTGGGGAGAGGTGCTTGCCGGGAATGTGGGTGAGGGTTCCTGCCTCCCTCCCCACTCCTGCCAACAGTGTGTTCTCAGCTGCACCCTCATTACAGGCTCATACCCCTAAATGTTGTGGGGTTTGCTCTAGCAACATCCTGGTTTGGGAGGGCAGGGAAGCACTGTTCTTTAGAAGAATAAGGAGCCCTGGTGGGGCAAGGGTTAACTGAAAGGTTGGCAGGCTCTGTGGGAGAAACACCTCATGACCTGCTTCTGTAAACACTGTTATTGTGTCTTCAAGTCTTTCTGACTCAAAGTGACCCTACAGGACAGAGCAGAACGGCCCCACAGGGCTTCCAAGGCTGTCACCTTCATGGAGCAGGTCACCAGGTCTTTTCTCCCACGCAGTTGCTGATGGGTTTGAACCATTAACCTTTCAGTTAGTAGCCAAGCGCTTAACTGCTACCACCAGGGCAAAGATAGCCTAGAGAGCCTATGGGGCAGTTCTCCAGTCGCATGGGGTCACTGTGAGTGGAAAACCAACTTGACAGCATGTAACAATCACCACCTAAGTGTCGTCTGAGTGACAAAGCCCTGGATGTGGTGAATGGTCCCTGTCCCCCTCTCCAATGCCATTGCCCACTGCTCCCTGACCCTTGGCCTCTGCTCCATTCCCTGGGCTTTTGGCACCTCGACTCCAGGATGACACATGCTGTTCCCTGTTGGAACACCCTGGCACCTGGCCAACCCCAATTCATCCTTCAGGGCTCGGCTGGGTCATCAGTTCTTCTGGAAAGCCCTACTTACCCCCTAAACCAAGTGTGGACTTCTGTCTACTGCCCTTTTACTCCACTCTGGGCCTTTTTGCAGCCTTTGGTGGACATCGTGGGTCAGTAACATCCCCAATCGAGTGTCCCTCACCACTGGTGGCCAAGGGGCTGAGAGGCAGGAGGAGTCTGGCTACCGCCTGCAGAAGGGTCCACTGTAAGCTGAGGGCAGACCTGTGGATGCTTCTGGACTGTCCTTTGTAGTGGAGGCCGTCCCATGCATTGAAGGACAGTGAGGCAGCATCCCCGGCCTCAACCCACTAGATGTCAGCAGCAAGAACACCCTGCTCTCTCCCAGTTGTGACAACCAAAAACGTTTCTGTTGTTGTTAGATGCCATCAAGTCTATTCTGACTCCTAGTGAGTGATCCCATGTGACAGAACAGAACTGCCCCCACAGGGTTTTTAGGCTGTAACCTTTATGGGAGCAGATCACCAGGAACTTTCTCCCATGGAGCCAAGCCACTGGTAAGTTCTAACTGCTGACATTTTGGTCAGCAGCTGAATGCTTCACTGTTGAACCACCAACCAAAACTCACTGCCATGAAGTCAACCCCAACTCATAGCAACCCTAAAGGACAGAGTAGAACTGCCTGGGCTTCCAAGGCTTTAAGGAAGCAGACTGCCTCATCTTTCTCCTGCAGAGTGGCTGGTAGGTTTGAACCACTGACCTCTGTAGTTAGCGGCTGAATGCTTTAGCCACTATGTCACCATAGGTCCTTATACCACCAGGACTCCTTAAAAATGTCTCCAGACATTGCCAAATGTCCCCGGGGAAGCAAAATTTCTGTCCTAGACTGACCTCTCACATGTGAAGATGCAGCCAATGGACAGAGAGGGGCAGGGAGGGGACGTCAAGGGCAGAATTGAACAGGAACACAGCTATGGGAACCACCAGAGTTACGTAAGGTTTCAGTGTAACGGCAGGACTCACCAGACCCAGTCAGCAACACCACAGGCTGTGGTTTCCCCGACTGTGAGCGCTCATTAGAACAGAAAGGAAAACCACAGGCCCAGCTGCCTGGGACCCACCAGGGCTATGTGACCCCATGGCCACCAGAGCTGTGAGGAAGGGCTCCCCACCATCTCACTCACCCCTCCTTCCAGCACACATCTGTGGTAGGGTGTGAGAGGAAGGGAAGAGGGACAGCGTGGAGACTGAGTTAGAATCCACGTGTGGCACTGCCACACTCACACACACCCACCCCAGCCCACCTCAGAGCCCCCAAGAGAGCCCTGCACCTTAGAAGTCAGCAAGGTGTGGGGCCAACATGATCTGCCGCCCCTGGTCTTGGACCCTGGAGGTGGAGGTGGGAAAGGGGTTTTGTGGCTCACGGAGAGCCTTTTCCACTCACCAGCAGGGAAAGCTCTCGAGATCTGAAGCCTGGATGGAATCGCCCAGCAGTCTCGCCGCATGGGGAAGAACAGGCTGCTGTGTACAGCGGGCCAGCGAGGTGGGCTCTGCGTCCCTGGGCTCCCAGAGCTGCAGCTCAGACCATAGGGAAGAGTGGCAGGGTGGGGGGCCAGGTGAGAGCTGCCTCACTGGGCTGCTGTAAGTCTCTGTCTTTACAGCCCCCAACTGACATCAAGGCTAGTTCCCTGGTGGCATGAGCAGTTACACACTTGGCTACTGACCAAAAGGCGGGAGATTCAAACTGACCCTGGGCAGTAGGGCCTAGCCATCAACTTCCAAAACACCCACCGTCAAAAACTCTATGGAGCAGTTCTACTCGGACACACTAGGCGTCGTGGGTTGGCATCAACTTGACCGATGACTTTTATTTATTTATTTTTCTGAGCGACACTGAATTGTCCTAAGTTTCCAAAAAGAAGGATTTGGGACTGAGGAGATGGAGCCCAGAGGTGGAAGTGCAAACTGGTGGTGTGGGGGGGCCCTTGCTCTGGCCAGAGGCCTGGGCTGTCCTGTGGGAAGCCTGCGACATCCTCCCCAGAAGGGGACTGAACCAAAGAGAGCTGTGGCTTTGGACGGGGGTGTCACTAAGCACCATGACTCAGCTCGGGGATAGTGGCTAAAATTGGCTGCCCCACCACAGAGTGGCCACTCCCCACAGGCCGCCCTGGGCCCAGACACTCCTATCCCTTCCCAAGAGCCACATCCAGCTTTCACAGGAGGGCGAGGGAAAACCGAAGAACAGCTCCTGAGTCCCCAGAGGGCCCAGTGTCCTCACCCAGTGACCACGGAACCATACTTGACCCCAGTAGCATTGAGCCCTCCCTGGAAGACCAGGCCCAGGTTGGTTTTCACACCCTCACTCAGCCCCACTTGCAGAACTGTTGGCGGTGGTCAATTTCAACTCACGATGACCCCACTCAATTTCAACTCATAACGACAGAGCAGAACTGTCCCACACAGTTTTATCTGCTGTCATCTTTACAGAAGCAAATAGCTAGGACTTCCTCCTGTGGAGGCACTGGGCGGGTTCAAAGCATCAACCTTTCGATTGACAGGCATGCGCTTAACTGTTGCATCACCAGCGTTCACAAGACTATAGAGCATAAACCTGCCTGGCCCCCTCACCCAACTTCTGCACCAGTGGGACTGCCCTCCTAGCTCCTCAGCAGACTGGACAGGCCAGACCCACGCACTCCAAACACACAGCAGTGGCCCGTCCCGGGCAGTTCTGCAGCTAGACTTGAGTTGTCCTGGGTCTGCCAGGCAGGCTGCCCACTCTGCAGTTGACCAGAGGCTCACCCAGTACAGGGAGCCACACTTCGATGCCCCTGGGCAGTCGTCCCTCCCCAAGTGACCCTAACAGTCTTCTATCCAGCATAGCCCAGGCCATGCAGCTGGACAGAGAGGGCTCCGCGTACTTCATGACTCAGTTGTGACTCAAGCTGGCTATCAGAGCCTTCATTGCTTTAGTTGTTCATTGTTCATTCAGCCACCCATTGAATGA